GCCTAGCAGGTATGACTCACAAACAAGACCATACAATAAGAATGCAATGAAGCACACAGGATAAGTTATAACAAATAGAATATATAGAAATTAGACAAGAAACAGGAAACTTTAATTTTTTTTAAAAAACAAGTATTTATTAAGCACATACTATGTGACAGGCACTGTGCTAGGTGCTGACAACGCATTTTTAGCCAAACAAGACTTTTGCAGGTTGAAGGAGACTGGGAGAGAGAAAAATGAGTGATCCAGAAAGAGGAAAGAGCATGTGTAAAGGTCAAGAGATGCAAGAAAATAAACTGTTCCAGGTATCAAACGCAATTCAGAATAAATATATATTTGTAAAGTGGATGGGGAACAGTATGAAGCTGAAAAGATTAAAAAATAAAGAACCAAATCAGACAGGTGAAGGCAATCCTATATAATAAAACCCTAATATACAAATCAACCAAACGGCAGAACAACCGGTCGCTATAACATGCACTGACCACCAGGGGGCAGACGCTCAATGCAGGAGCTGCCTCCTGGTGTCAGTGTGCTCCCATAGGGGGAGTGTGCTCAGCCAGAAATCGGGCTCATGGCTGGTGAGTACAGTGGCTGTGGCGGGAGCCTCTCCCACCTCTGCTGCAGGTGGGTGGTAAGGAGCGAGGGGTCCCAGGCTGCAAGAGCCATGTCTGACTGCCCGCTTAGGCCCAATTCCCCAGGGGGAGCGGGCCTAAGCTGGCAGGCAGGCATCCCCTGAGGGATGTGCAGGTTGGGTTGAGGGACCCCCACACCCAGTGCACAATTTTCATGCACCTGGCCTCTAGTGTTAAATAAAGAGTTTGGACTTTAGTCTAATTTGTAAATTTGGTACTCACAAGGTACATATGCAGAGAGAGATGTGATCAGATTAGTGTTTTAAAACTACTTCTTTGATTACAGTGTGGAGAATGAATTAGACCGAGAGAATGAATAGGAGATTGTCATATCATTCTAGAGATTAAGATGTTACTATGGTCTGGATTAAAGTGAGAATAGAGAAAAGTAGATTATTTCAAAGATATTTAGGAGATACTATAATTTTTAGGAATTGGGGGAAATTCGTTCCTTCATTTCAGTGTTGGAAACATCTACAAGGCCCAAGAAATGATTTGTTCAGGACCTGCTAAGGCATTAGGGGTGAGTTAATTAAATGTTTGACCAAATATAGCAGGCTAATTTTTAAGTTGATAATTTTGTATGGCCCGTGAATGATGTTATAAATACCCAAATGGCCCTTGGCAGAAAAAAGGTTCCCCACCCCTGCTTTATTTGTTTCATAAGTATTTATAGAATATCTAGTATGTACCAAGCATTGTGCTACAGCCTAGGAGATACAATGGTGAAGACAGATATGATTCTTTGCCCTGATGGATTTTATAGTACAGAAGGAAAGACAGATATTAGACAAATAATTACACAAAAAATCAATTACAACTATAGTAAATCCTTCAAAAGAGAAATACTAGACACTTTTGCAGGAGAACCTGACCCAGTCGGACCAATGCTAGGAGTCAAAGAAATTTTGAGAAAGTGGCTTTTTCATAAATTGTGGTAAAATAACAAAATTTAACATTTTATTAACTGTTTGAAATTGTACAGCTCAGTAGCACAATGCAGTACAACTATTCCCACTACCTAGTTCCAGGACTTATTCATCACCCAAACAGAAACCCTGTGCCCACTAAGTAGCCCCCACCCACCCCCATTGCCCCTGGCAACCACTAATCTGCATTGTCTCTATGGATTTGCCTATTTGAAGACTTCAAATGAATGGAATCACAAACTATGTGGGTTTTGTGTCTGGATTCTTTCACTTAGCACAGTGGTTCTGAACCTTCCTAATGCCACGACCCTTTAATATAGTTCCTCATGTTGTGGTGACCCCTGACCATAAAATTATTTTCGTTGCTACTTCATAACTGTAATTTTGCTACTGTTATGAATTGTAATGTAAATATCTGATATGCAGGATGTCTTTTCATTGTTACAAATTCAATATAATTAAAGCATAGTGATTAATCACAAAAACAATATGTAATTATATGTGTTTTCCAATGGTCTTAGGCAACCCCTGTGAAAGGGTCGTTCGATCCCCAAAGGGGTTGCGACCCACAGGTTGAGAACTGCTGACTTAGCACAATGTGTTCAAGGGCTATCCATGTTGTACCATGTATCAGTACCTCATTCACAGTTATGACTGAATAATATTCCATCGTAGGGATGTAACATATTGTGTTGATCCATCCATCAGCTGTTGGACATTTGGGTGGGTGGTTTCAAATTAGAGCTAATATGGACATTCATGTACAAGTGTTATTTGAGCACATTTTCAGTTCTTTGGGGTATATACCTAGAAGTTGAATTGTTGGGTCATATGTTAACTCCATGTTTAACTTATTGAGGAACTGCCAAACTCTTCCACAGTGGCCAAACCATTTTATATTTCCACCAGCAATGTATAAATTTCTCCACATCCTCATTGATACTTGTTATTATCATATTTTCCATTCTAGCCATCTTATTGTGTGAGGGGTTATGTTATAGCTTTGATCTCAATTACCCTAATGACTAATGACATTAGGTGTCTTTTCATGTGCTTATTAACCATTAGTATATCTTCTTTGGAGAATGTCTACCCAAGTCCTTTGCCCATTTTTAAAGTGAGGAATTTTTTATGGTTGGGTTATAAAAATTATATATTCTGGATACTACACCATTACCAGATATATGATTTGCAAATATTTTCTTCCATTATTTAGTTGTCCTTCATTCACTTTCTTTGTAGTGTCTTTTGATGCACAGGTTTTTAATTCTGATGAAGGCCAATTTATCTATGTTGGAAGTTGTTTGTCATTTAAGTCATATTTAAGAAACAATTATGAAATCCAAGGTCATGAAGGTTTGCCTGTATGTTTTCTTTGAATAGCTTAATAGTTTTAGCACTAAAATGTAGGTATATATTTCATTTTGAGTTGATTTTTGTAAGTGGTGTGTGGTAAGGGTCCAGCTTCATTCTTTAGCATGTGGTTTTCCAATTGTCCCAGCACCACTTGCTAAAGGGACTGTTCTTTTCCCCCAGTGAATGGTCTAGGCACCCCTGTTGAAATCAATTGACCATGGAAGTATGGGTTTATTTCTGGACTCTCAATCTATTCTATTGATCCTTGTTTATCCTCATGTTAATACTACATTATTTTGGTAACTGTAGCTTAGCAGTAAGTTTTTGAAATTGTAAATGTGGATCTTCCAACTTTGTTCTTCTGTTTCATGATTGAGCTATTATGGGTCTCTTGAAATTCCATATGAATGTTATGATTGGCTTTTCCATTTCTGTGGGGGAAAAAAAGATGGACTCCATTGGAATTTCAAAATGAATTCTATTTAATCTCAAGATGGCTGGGAGGAACATTGCCATCTTTACAATATTTGGCTCCCAGTCCATGAACATAGGATGTCTTTCCACTATTTAGGTTTTCTTTAATTTCTTCAATATGTAGGAGGAAGTGACATTTAGGTTGACTAAATTGTGCAGTGAGAAGGGAAGGGAGTGACTTCTAATGGCATCTGGGCTAAGGATTTAGGCATCTGACATAGTGTCTATGTGGGAAACAAGGGTAGAGACTGCAAGAGGACACATTGTTGAATTTAGTTTAGATGTATTGAAACTTAGTGCCTGTGAGATATTAACTCAGAGGGTTAACAATTCTCTTTCAAAACACCTTTACTTCAGCAAGAATGGATGTTTTGGATTAAACATGACATTTCAAAGTTGAGAGCTCTTTTCCAGATTTCTTTGTTATCAAAGAAAGAATATGTTCGGTATAGTTTTTGTATTGTGCATTTTATTGCATTAGGTGATCTCAACCTTATCAATAGGTTAATATATATTTATATCATATGACATGAATCTGATTTAAAATAATGAATGTCCTTAAATATGATTATAAGAAAACATTTTTTCTTTGAGTTTTAACATAGAATACAGTTGAGGTTTCCCTACCTTTGGATAATATTGGCCTCTTTATACTTACCAAATAATTTTCCTTTTAAATATTTGGTAATTAATGGCACAAGTCAAGTACAGTATACTTTTAATCAAGTATGGAAATATTTGCTTACATACTTCATTCTTATTTATCTCATGCCCTTTTCCCGACATACTGCCCTCCACATACAACATGTAAAGTACGTGTGACAGGTGACACTCAGCTCCTTGTCAGGTCATCTAGGAGGTGGACAGATTAAAATTAATGTTGTAATGACGTAGTGCTCAGGTCACTGCATCACTAGCAAAGGTTAATTTTGCATATTTATCAATACATTATTTAATATTAGTACCAACAATTTTTTTTAACCAACAACTCTTTGTGTATTATTGTGTAAAATGTTTATAAAAGGACATCATATTTTAAATTATTCAATTTTTAAACCAATCTGTAATGAGAGTCTTTAATTAGATGAATAAACCTCAAGGTTTTTAAATATCAAACTAAAGTAAATATGTAGTATGGCCTTATGGTAAAATATCACAGTGTTAATGATTAAACAAGACCTAAACCAGGAACCTATCCTTCATTAATGTAGTCATACTGAATAGTGACTGTATACAATGAGAAACTGTCTACATTCTATGAATACTATTAATGACAGATATTTTTTAATAAATGGCAAGAATACAAATAGCTAATGTTAGTAAAATGCATTAGTGTTCAGGCTCTTAATCCAAAATCAATGGACAGAAATGGGAAGAGATTTAGGCAATTTTAGTGGAAATGAGGAAAGATCACTGGACTTACTCTATATAACAAACACCTACCACAGGCAAAAAATAAAAAAATAAAATGGCAATTAAGTTGATTGCAGTACTTTAATGTTTTAAAGAAACCTTATTAAAAATACAGATTTAAAAAAATCTTACATTCTTGACAGATACAGCATCATCTGTCTTTCTAAAAATAGTATGGTAAACACAATTGTAGAAATGTATGTTAATCAGTGGTACAATATTATGGTTTTAAAAATCCTGACACACTCCTACTATCTGCTGCTTTGAAGTCAGATTATGGCCTGGAATTTACGTCAGGCTGGGTCCAAAGTGGCATATTGGGACCCAGGCCAGTGTCAGTAAACTGTGCCTATTTTGGTAGAACTTCTCCAGCCAAGAAAGGATAAATAACAAAGAAAAAACCATCCAATTATATGAGAGACCAAGAAAGGAAAAAAATCAGTTTTGTAAAGAACACTTTTCCTTCTTTTCATCAGCTTCTTTATTTACTCCGGATAGGTAACATAACAGTGTTCAATAGTGAAGTAAGTGGATTTTACACTCACTATTACTGTATGGGTAGAAAGAGCCACATGCATTTTTGTTTTTATAAGTCATCTCTGATCACTGCAATATGGCACATGAGAACAGAGATTCAGAGGCACGAAGTTAATATATACATTTAACAATGTCAAGGATTCAAAAGATAAATGCAATCATATAGCAAAAAAATCAGATTGACATTTTGACCTTTCCCAAGGATGTGAAGAATCTTTTCGCATGTCAGAAATCTCTATAGCAAAGATTCCTATGAGAGAGAAGAAAATTTGTGCAGATTAACATTTTTAATTCCACGATTTCACCATGTATAAAATTAAACTCTAACATTACTTTGGCAATACTTATGATTTTTCTCCCAGCTTCTGTGAAGAAAAACAAATACAATGTATTTTTTTGCTCAGTGTTTACAAACCGTAATACATCCATATCTTGGAATCATATCCAATATTAAAAAGGAATCAACTATTATTAAATACAACTTGAATGGATCTCATGGACATTGTGTTAAATAAAAAAAAGTCAATTTCAAAAAGTTACATAGTGTTTGTGATTCTATTTATATAACATTCTCAAAATGACAATTATAGAGGTGAAGAAGAAATTATTTTCTTGGGGGACTGTGTGTGTGTGCTTTGACTAACTATAAAGTGGTATCATAAGAGAGTGAGTTCCTTGGTGCTGATGGAACAATTAGGTGTCTTGATTGTGGTGGTGAAATATGGGTCGTGTATAAAAAACAAACAAACTATAAATACACATAAATGAAAACATGGAAAAACAAGTGAAACTGAATATGAGTTAAAATTAACTGTATTTTACCAATGTTAATTTCCTGGTTTGTAAGATATTACCTTGTAAGCTGGGGGAAGGATATGGGGAACTCCCTTTTTAACTATTTTAATAACTCCAGGTAAGTCTATAATTCTTTCCAAGTAAAAAGGAAAATAAAACAAAACTGGTAGATCCCTACAGTAGAATACTTTTCAGTGGGTAAAAGGAATATTCAACAAGATCTGATGCATACAACAACCTGAAAAAAATCTGAAATATATTACGTTGGGTGAAATTTAGCCACTAGAGGCTACATATGATGATTCCATTTTTATGACATCTGGAAAAGGCAAAACTATAGGGACAAGAAACAGACCAGGTACACTCTTAAAGAGCCAACACACAAAATCTTGTTCACAGCTACACACCCTGAGTACCGAGAGAGGGAGGGTAAAGCAGACTAGAGTCCCATGAGGACAGACTGGGGTTTATGGCTCTGGGGAGAGAGCTGAAGAGACAGCCACCAGGATCTCTGTGCTGAGTCCCTTTTCCACACTGTAGACGCCATCATTCCTCAGGGGAGGACTCCTCTCCCTATGGCATCAGCCTGGGTGAATACAATAGCCCCATCCTCTGGATTTCCTGCTGAGGAGTCATCTTTCTGGGCCAGGGTGCAGATGTATGAGCTGACTCAGGGACTGAGTTGTGTGGCTCTGTGGCGGGTCCATTCCCCCCACTTTCCCATGAAACTGACCAGTGCCTCCTCTCACAGCAGATACATTAGCCCCACTCTCTAGGCTCCAGGTGATCCTACCCCCATGACTCCAGGCAGCTCCGCCCTGCCGAGGAGGTCTGGGCAGGATCTAGGACAGACTGTGTTGTGTCGCACTAGGACAGGGTCATTTTTTCCCCCCTTGCATGCCAAACTGGTGCAGAGCCCTTCCTTTAACAGTCAAATCTTGGTGTGTTTGGGCCTGATAAAATCTACTATCCTCATTCTGATGACTCCCTGAGACACCACCCCACCACAAAGGTCTATGGGCACTTGGCAGGGAGTAGCTAGGTTTAGTATAACCTGGGACATTTGCCGAGCGGCCTCAGTCCCAGCATTGGCATGAGTTTTGACCTATATCAATATGGTGAGCACCACTCATCCCCACCTAGAGGCTCTTTTAGTGACAGAACCTAACAGGCAGCTGGCAGGTGAAGGCTGGCAGAGATGGATCTCTGGGCCCTTTATGCCTTTGCTGACCTGACCCCGGGCTCAGTAGTGGTGGAAGCCAGACGTGGTGCACATATTGATCCATCTCACACACACCAAGGCCCAGCAGAGTTAGCCACAAACTGGATTGCTTTGTAGCTCTAAAAAGGTTGCCCAGGGCAGGTCACAGGCAGTGTCTGACATTGACCAGGGTACCTCCCAAAAGGCACCAGAATAGACACACCCAGTGGACAACTTCAGACAACATCAAAGCAGGATACAATTAGCTTAACAAGTATCATAACCAAAGGCAGATCTCAGTAGGCATCAGATCCTGCTGAGGCAAATTCTGGTTCACATGGTCAGCACCTGTATAGCAGCTTGTACACTGTGGTCAAGATGAATACTCATAGACAGCAAACTTGAAGATAAAACACACACACAAAATAGGACCATAGCAAACTCAACACTCAATTATGACAAAAGAGCTCACATAACATACACAAGAGATATTACTGGAGTACCCGGCTCAGGTGATCAAGGAGACTGTGCCATTAAGTTCCATAGGACACCATCCTACCAAGATTGGGAGACATAGAAGATCTACCTAATACACAGAAACAAATACAAAGAGGTAGACAAAATGGGGAGATAAAAAGACAAACTAAATGAAAGAACAAGAGAAATGTCCAGAAAAAGAGCTAAATGAAATGGAAACAAGCATTGTATCAGATGAAGAGTTCAAAAAAATGGTTATAAGGATGTTCATGGAACTTAGTGATAACTTAAAAAAGAGATAGCAAGCATTAAAACAACAACAACAACAACAAAACATAGAAACCATAAAAAAGAACCAGTTGCAAATGAACAATTTGATATCTGAAATGAAAAATACACTAGAAAGAATAAACAATAGATTGGATAAAGCTGAAAAGCAAATCAGCAATTTAGAAGACAAGGTAGCAGAACATACTCAATTAAAGGAGCAAAAACATTTTTTGATATAAGGACAGTTTAAGAAATATTTGGAACAACATGCAGCTTATCAACATCCGCAATATACAGAGAAGAGCAAAAGCAGTTTCAAAAACCTATTTGAAGAAATAATGGCTGAAAATTTTCCTAAGCTGATGAACAAAAAATACATATAAGTCCAAGAAGCATAGAAAGTCCCACACAAAGTGAACCCAGAGAGGCCCACACCAAGACACATAATAATTAAAATAGCAAAGTTTAAAGACAAAGAGATAATCTGAAAACCAGCAAGAGAAAGACAGTTAGTTACCTACAAGGGAACTCCTATAAGACTGTCAGCTCATTTCTCAACAAAAATTTCAGGCCACGAGGCATTGGCATGAAATATTCACTGTAATGAAAAGCAAGGACATATACCCAAGACTACTTTACCCAACAAGGCTGTCATTTAAAATTGATGTAGAAATAACGAACTTCCCAGACAAGAAAAAGCTAACATAGTTCATTACCACTAACCTAGTATTATAATAAACTAGAGGCCCGGTGCACAAAATTCATGCACTTGGGGGGAGGAGGGTCCCTGAGCCCAACCTGCACCCTCTCACAGTCTGGGACCCCTCAGGGGATGTCTGACTGACAGCTTAGGCCTACTCCCCAGGGGGAGCGGGCCTAAGCCGTGAGTCGGACATCCTTAGTGTTGCCACAGAGGCAGGAGAGGCTCCCGCCACCACTGCTGTGCTTGCCAGCAGTGAGCCCAGCTTCTGGTGCTCACCACCAGTTAAGCATCTGCCCCCTGGTGGTCAGTGCACGTCATAGCGACTGGTCGTTCTGCCATTCGGTCAATTTGCATATTAGCCTTTTATTATATAGGATGTTAAAGGATCTTCATGAAGAAGAAGCAGAAGGAGCAGAAGAAGGAGGAGAAGAGGTACATAATAATAAAGAAAAAAATCACAATAAATTTGTACCTTACAATAATCACTTCAAATGAAAATGGCTTAAATGCTTCAATCAAAAGACATTGGGTGGTTGAAAAAATAAAAAAAAATTCATATGAAAGCAAAAGTAAAAGAATGAAAAAAGATTTGTCATGCAAATAAAAAAGGGGGAAAAAGTTGGAGTAGCAATACTTATATCTGACAAAATAGACTTTAAAACAAAGGCTATAATAAGAGACAAAGAAGGACAATATAATGGTAAAGAGGATGTAACCCTGTAAACACTTATGAACCCAACATAGAAGCACCTAAATATATAAAGAAAATCTTGAGGGACATAAATGGAGCAATCGACAATAATATGGTCATAGTAGGGGATTTTAATACCCTAATTACATCAGGAGATACATCTTCCAGACAGAAAATCAACATGGAAACAGTGACCTTTAATGACAGAATAGATGGAATAGATTTCATTGATATCATCAGAGCATTTCACCATAAAGCAGCAGAATATACATTCTTATCAAGGGCACATGGAACATTTTCTAGGATAGACCAAACAAGTTTCAAAACAAGTCTCAATAAATTTAAGAAGATTAAAATCATATCAAGAACCTTCTCTGACTATAATGGTATGAAACCAGAAATCAATCACCAACTGCCCCCCACCTCCCCCACCCCCCAAATCTGAATAGCACACAAAGACACAGAGATTAAATAATGAATGGGTTTAAATGAAATCAAGGATGATTTCTTAAGATACCTTGAAATAAAAGAAAATGAGAATCAACAACTCAAAATCTATGGGACATAGCAAAAGCAGTCTTAAGAGGAAATTGCACATTACATGCCTATGTCAAGAAATAAGAAACATCTCAAATAATCTAACTTTACACTTAAAGAAACTTGAAAAAGAACAACAAACAAAGCTTAACGTGAGTAAAAAGAAAGGAATAAAGATTAAAATAGAAATTTTAAAAATAGAGTCATAAAAAGGAACCCAAAAGATCAATGAAACTAAGAGCTGCTTCTTTGAAATAATAAGCAATATTGACAAATCTTTAAGCAGACTCATCAAGAAAAAAAGAGAGTGTACCCAAATAAATAAATTCAGAAATTAAAGAGGAGAATTAACAACTGACACCAAAGAAATACAAAAAAATGTGTAAGAAAACATAGACAACTATATGCCAACAAATTGGACAATCTGGATGAAATGGATCTATTCCTAAAAACATACAATCTTCAAAAACTGAATCAGGAAGAATCAGAAAATCAGAATAGACTGGTTACACTTGATGCAACTGCAGCAGTAATAAAGAATTTTTAAAAAAAGAAAACCTCCCATCAAACAGAAGT